AAGGAAGGAAGGAAGGAAGGAAGGAAGGAAGGAAGGAAGGAAGGAAGAAAGAAAGAAAGAAAGAAAGAAAGAAAGAAAGAAAGAAAGAAAGAAAGAAAGACAGCAAACTCCAACCACTAAACCTAGCTTACAACTATTAACTATTCAGTCTTATGTGGCATGGCAGAATGTTACCAGTGGAGATTGCAAAGGCCAGAGGAGACCCAGGGAATCCTCAATCATCTGGCAGTAAGGACGGCAGGTTAGAAGAGTCAAGTCTGTGGGTTCACAGTCTGGCTGAGTGACGTTCGCTCTCGAGGATGAGCAGTGGCTTCATAGAAAAACAATACCCCCTCCAGACCATTAACCCAGCCACCAGGCTGCAAATTCCAAAAGATGAAAACAGCAACACAAAAAGACACAAAATACCTTCACCGCAGCCTGGGAAGGGAAGAGAAATCAAGCTGTGCATCTGATACTGAGAAAGGAAAACTGAAGATGCCCCTTGAATCTACCAGGGCTGTGACTGTGACTTTGGTTAGCCTCCACACTTCACAGCACGTGACAATTCCCAATCAACACACCAGCTTCTGCACATGTACATCAGGGAAGGCTCGAACTCTTCAAGATGCCACCAACTCCTCACCATGAAGTACAACATGCACAATGATGTGAATGAGAAGACTGCTCTTTGTATTTTTTCTAACAGTTTCCACAAAGCACAGTCACCACCTACATGGGTCCACTCCCTTTCTGTTCTAAAGTGAACAGAGAGCTAGGAAAACAACTAATGTCCAGCTAAAAGGCTTGTTTTTCAGATCATGCTTTTGCCGAAAATGGATGGTGGCCGGCTGCTGTGACTAGTCCAATATTAAAACGAGAAAGAAGAGCACATTTTCTAAATGCAGGGATTCAACCTTGAGACCAGTGTGTTCAACCACAACAACAACAACAAAAAGAGCACGTTCCAGGAACCCCCAAAACAAACCCAGCACTTCATGAGAATGGAGATGCTGGCCAGCTCCGCTGCAATGGAGTTACAATAGGTCTGGAGTTGCTGCTGATTGGTAATGATTACCAAATTCAGACGGGGAAAGATGGAGACAGCACATCCCCACTTCAATCCTTCTCCCCTTCTCTAGGATCCCGAGAAAGTGCTCACCACCTTACCCGCCCCCCCTCCTGCCCCCCACCTGTTACAACCCATGACTCCCTTCCCCTCCAGATTCAAGAAGTTCACAATTCATTAGGAAACAAACATTGCCAGGTACCGTATTTCAAGAGTCTTAACACTGTTGGACTCAGCAATACTTTGTCATATCATATATCATTTTCTTTTTCATTTTTATTGAATAAAGCAGCTTTGAAGCTTATTAGGCCCTGCCCAACATTTAGTCAAAAAAAAAAAAATCTGTTATGAACTTTTTAACCTTGGGCTAACAGCCAAGGACTCTGTACAAGAAAAACTGTAAAATATTTCATAGTTTTAATTCTTAAGCCATTTTCCTTTCTGGCATCCTGTACATTTCTTTAAAAAAAAAATAACAAAACAAATATTAACAAAAACGAGGGACAATATTTTCAAGCAACGAAAACTGGGGTGAGGGGAGCTTATTCTGAAGGTGTATTTGAAACTGGTAACAATGTAATAAAAATTAAGAATTGCATAGCGCAGCACGTTTAGCCTTCAGCAAAACAAAACAGAAGCTATTTGGTATTGATACAAATCCATCTATTTGATAGTTAGTCACCCAATATTATGTACATATTTTATATACTGAATGTCACTTCGAGTCCCCTTGCCCACACTCATTTTTCTGTTGGTGGGTGGTTGGTTGTCGATTTGACAAGTTTTAAGCGAAACATTTTCCGGTCTTTTTGTTTTTTGTTTTTCCTCCGAACATGCTGCATCGATGTTCTCTCAAAGTGTCCTGTGTGAGCAGACCTGCCTCTCTGCTCCAGATCGTTCATTCATTAAAAAGGAAATAACCCACAGTGCGACGTGTCTGGGCTCACCACACCCAGCGACACCCAGCGACACCCAGGCTAAACCAGGCTGGACCAAACGGTTTCAGGCCCAGGCCCTTCAGCCCTGTCAACCTTCTGGTCTCCAAAGTTCCAACTTGCAGCTGGTAAAGCTTCAGAAAGCGTTAACAAGCACCATGGTTAAAGGCCTCTTTGTCCCTGCACGGAGAGATTTTTTTTTTGCATTTCCTTTTCTCTGTGTTGGCTGTGTGTTGTGGCTTTAAATTAAAAAAAAAGAAAAAAGGAAGAAAGAAAAAAAAAAGGATAAGGTTAGAAACGTTTAGTCATCCAACAGCCCTAGGCTGCCGTGTCTTCCCCGACTTCTTTTTGTCCAAGAAAGCTCTAGTCCCATGTGCAGACAGCCGGCTTCGTTTCTGCAGCTCAGTTCACAGGTCGGGCTGGAGAGGAGCCCTGGGCTTCCCAGAGGCCTTGGGTGGCTTGAAGGTGAGGAACTGGATCCGAGGGCAGCGTGCTTCATCGCCTCTGCTGTGCATATACCGGGTATGCTAGTGTGACGTTGAGCGAGTCATTGTGCTGCACCAGGGAGGTGTGTTGATAATGTAGCACCAGCTCCTTCAGGGAGCTGTACAGGTTGTAGGGCTCGGCAAAGCCATAGCCGGTGGCAGTCTTGTTGATAACACAATGCTTGACTTCACCGTCTACCCTGGAGAGGGAACAACAACAAAGTCTCAGACAAACGGAATGCCGCAGGGTAATTTTTTAAACAAAGCCATCATCATGGGAGGGCACAGGGAATGGGTCCGTGTCACTCCTGGGGAGCCAAAGCCCCCAAGCCGCGGTAAACTATGAGTGGCACTTTTACTGGTCAAGTGACTCACACAAGGGTTAAGCGTTTGGGCCTGCTTTGGTGGACTGTTTCATGGTTAAATGGTTTAAAGGAGGGAGAGGCATGATGACATGTGGATTAGGGTTCGAGAAGAGTGTGTGACAGATGGGTGGCTGCCCGTCACTTGTGGCAAGCATGTGACAAAGGGCAGCTTCCCACCTCCCAGGTGCTGGTATTACTGTCTCTGTGGGACCACAGGCTAGCTTTCCTCTGGTTATAATCATCCAGCCTCTCCTCGAAGTGGTATCACAACTCTCCAGCTTGGCATTTATTCGGATTTCTCCTAGTCTCTCGTCCTCACTCAAAATCCTCCCTCTGTCCATCTTATAGGAAGAGTTCTTAACTGAAGCAGTGATTGGCATAGACTATAAGGTACTTTTAGTGTCTTTCCACGCAAAAGGGCATTTGCTTCTCTGTCCCAAGGATGTGAGTGACTCCAAACCCACTGTTCTTTTGGTTGGCTCAGGGTCCCCATATACAACCTGTGCTGTATCTCAGTCACTCTGAGTGCTAGGATTACAGACATCATGCTCAGCCTTCAGGTTTTACTTTTCAAAGCACTTCCCAAACTATTATGAAATAAAAAGGAACTGGGCTACAAGACAGAAATGTGTCTCCTTCGGGGTGTATCTCTATAGGATCGCAGTGGGGTCCTTCCTCTTCTTGCTCTGGTCAGTCCCTAAAGGATTACTTTATCTATTTTAGGTGATGGTCTCATAATGACCTTGCATTCTAACTATATTGACTTTTAGAGGGGTGGGAACAGCGGGAAGGCACGGCCATTTCTGTTTATAATTAAGATGGGGGGGGGGGGCGGGGAACACCTCAAGACAACTAGAGATGAACTTGTCTTGACATTGGACCCCAAGTCCCAATTGTCCTACCATATGGTGACAGGTGTCTGTTAGGTTCTTAACAGGTTCATTTATCTGCCTAGACCCAACTGCACTGTATGAGTCTTTGAGGGTAAGATGTTTTCAAATCCTGACCTCCAGGGACTAAGTAAATGAAATCTAATGAATGAGTAAGTTTTCTGGAGTGACTTACACTACAGAGCAGGCATAGCAGCCCTGCTTACTGCTCTCCCGGACCAGAAAAGTGCCATCTCGCTTCCCCCGTAATAGATTCTCGGCTTTGTTTCGGTTGCTACTTCCAACATTCCACGTCTTCTCGTCATGGTGGGGCAAGTCCTCATCATCTTCTACCAGGGAGTATTGGCTACATGGGCGGAAGCGAAGGTTTGTGAGTGAGTGGACGTGTAGGAACCCCAGCCTGGCCCAAGGTCTCCTTCCAAGCAGGCGGATTGGAGGACTCAGCCTCCTCGCCAGTCCCCAGGGTGAAGGGTTAGCAAAAGTCATGCCTAGCTCCATTTTCAAACCAGCCATCACCCTTAGGTACCTGGGCAGAGGGCAAGGACAGTACTGAGAAGACTGTCAGTTCTCAATTCAAACCAAACATATACTTAGCCTTCAAGATATACTAAACGTAATTGTTTGTCTCTCATTGTTCCAAAAATATTTGGGGATTTTTCTGATGTTCAGGGACATCATTAGGGACACAAAGGGTCAATTTACACAGTTGTAGGGAAAACAAAGCAAAAGGAGCCCAGTCTTCCTGGGCTCAACTTTCCCTCTGCAAAAATAACTCTGGTTAACGCTACTGAGTTTATACATTTTGCTTGAGAACAGAGTGAAAATCTGTTCACAAAACTCCCGGCTGGCCTCCCACCTCCTGTGGCTACTTACTCTTCCGTGTTTTCGTTTCCTAGCCACTCGTTCAACTTCTTCTGCCGAACACCCTTCTGCGTCAGCCACCTGAAAGAGTTTTGCAAAAGAGAGAAGGCATTGAGGACGCCTCTTTGATTTCAGCCCCTGGCAGTTCTTCAGGCTCTGTTTCAAACACTTACATCAAGTATTGGTCTCTGGTCTTTCTCAGCTGAATGAGGTCTGGCTTAATGCTGTTCATGCGCTTGTCAATCTCTCGATATTCAGCTGCCTGCTTCTTCAAGTCTTCCTCCAGTCTCCTCCTACTGTCAATGATCTCACTGATGCGAGACTTTAGCTTATCATAATTATGCATAATCCTGCAGGCAGGAGAAACATATCGCTAAGTACCTGGGGACACCATGCAAGGTCCCCAAAGTTAAGCTTTGTTTATTCCATTTGAAAATTGCTCCAATGACAGAAAGGCAGAGCATCAGTGGCCAAGCTTAAACAATTTTTGATACTTCTATCACAGGGGTATTGGGATGCTCATGGCTCACCTACCTTTGAATTTCTTTCTCGTTGCCTTCACGTTTAAACTTTTCTATGTATTCTTTGCTGTACCGCTCCTGGGTTTGGCACTGTTCTTCAAATATTTTTATGGTTTCATTAAATGCTTCAATAGCTGTTCTTTTCATTTGAATTTCCTGCAACACAAAGTTTCAGAAGACAATGTCATCCCTGTCAGAATACGCCTTCTTACTGTGAGAGACAGGCTAGCTCGTGACGAAATGCAAGCGTGCTGCTAGTCGGCACCGTCATCCATGGGTACCATAAGCTTAGTGACAGGAGCCCTCCCGGCCACGAACAGCCAGATACTGAAGTTCCTCATTGAGGTGATGTAATGGCCACACGGGGCCTACGCGATTTTTCTCATCAACTTCAAATCATCTCTAAATTGCTTAAGTCCGATACAACATCAATGCTGTATAAACAGCTGTGTGGTATTGCTTAGACTACAGTAGCAAGGGGGAGCGGGATGGGGAGAAGTCTGCACTGTACATCCTCCATACAGGACCAGGAGAGAGGGAAAGCCGGCGTGTACTCTGTTAGCAGGGCTGGATAGGAATTCACAACCTCTAGTCAAAAGGATCTGGAAACAGACATTTCTTGTGGAGAATTTTCTGTCTACCTTCACTTTTAAAAATGATTTCTTTTACTTATTTTTTTTTTGAGATTACAGTAAAATTGTATTTATTTCCTCCCTCTAAATCCCCCCATATAGCCCTTCTTGCTCTATTTCAAATTCATGTCCTCTTTTTCACTAACTATTGTGTGTGTGTGTGTGTGTGTGTGTGTGTGTGTGTTCCTAAATATGTAAACACAAACTGGTCAGTCTTTTAAAAGGCAATTTTATTTTATATCCACGCTGCTGCTTTCTCCTCTGGCAATCAGCACAGTGGACACAGCCCTTTTCCTCACAGCAAGGGGGATGGATATGAAATTTCCATCCCAGAGCTTGGACAAACTGGCATTAGCAGTTATTATTAATGTCTACCCTGGACAGAAGTCTCCAGTCAGGAATTACATTACATCAACTGAAAGCTCACAATGTTAGAAGCTCACAAAGTTAGAAGCAAGCTTAATGTAGGATTCTTGTACCCATGGCTACTCTGAAAAGGGTTAGACCATTCTTCTTTTGAATCTGATTATAACATGTGTTAGTCCAAAATATCTTAAACTCACCTGGGAAGTACGGGTGTATTCCTCATATAATCTATCATATTCCCGACTTTTTTCTTGAAATTGAGTATTATATTCATGTAATTTCTTCCCTACAGCTTCAATATTATCTTCTTTGACAACTTGATCCTGGAAGGATATACAAGGAGGAAAACAGAACTCATTTGGTAAGCTATTTATTCAAATAACAATCCTTAATGAAATAGTCAACGTGTTATCTGACTCAGCCATTGTGAAATTCCAGTCATGGTGTAGAGTTTGTCAAAAGCCGATTTTCTATGTTGTCAAGTCCTTTTCTACGTTGGAGAGTGGCCCGGCCCTGTGTTACTGCAGTTTGAGGAGTTCTGAGTAATTACCTGCTGGTATTTGGACACTGGGTAGAGTAACTTCACATCCAGCTTGGGGTTATACTGAGCTAGAGACTCATTCCGGTAGTGGTTTATCAGTTCAACCACAGAGTTGAAAGTTAATGGATCGGAGAAGCCATATTTCCCATCTCGGTGAAATATTTTGATTAATTTGTTATTTCCTCCTTTCCTGTAAATACAATATAAAAAGAACGGTTATTCAAGTTGTCTGAGGCAGTCGTGGGGGGCTCTCGGGGGAGAGGGAGACAGGAGAAGGAAGTGGGGGAGGGGAACAAGTATGGTTTGAAAATTCTGTCATGAAACCCATTTACTTTATGTGCCGATTGAAGGAGAAAAAAAAGCCTAACGAAGGTTAGAAATGTTTTCATGACAGCCCAGACATCCCAATGACAGCTGACTTCGGGGCTCACCTTAGTGTAAGAGTGTAATCGCCGTGCATTTTAGTGGATGCATCTCGCACCAGAAAGGTCCCGTCAGCTGTGTCTCGGAGTTTTTCATTCACTTCTTCCCTGAAATCAACACAATATAAGACCATGCTTACTCTTCAACTGTGAGTAACCACACTCCTACACAGACAGACACACACACACCGTTTTCCCTCCTGCACTCAGGATTGCTATACCACTGGACCCGACCCTTAGCCTGAACAGACACTATTCTTTAAGACACAGAGCAAAAATATCCAGCAGTTCCATATGTTTACATCCTCCTGTCTTTGTAGAGTCAAAATGTCAGTATTGCACATTTTCAAAGGTAACTAATTTCTCTTTGCTTGTAAAAAAATAATAATAAGTGCATGGTACATGCACTTATGTATGCACACACCCATTTACACTATTGGCGTATCTATAATACAAAGGTTTTTTTTTTTTTCCTTTTCAACCAGTTTCTGACAAACTGGTGCAGAAAGTCATAATCCACAGAGGCTCTTCCAGCCCACTCACTCACACTCTGAAAGCTAAAAGGGTGTGCAAGGAGAACAATAACCGGAATTCCTAAAGTCCAGCTTACTAGAGAGAGCACAGGCAGTGCTCTATCACCCTGGTGCGCCCCCGACATCTCTGTCAGTCGGGAAGCTTCCTGGGTCTTTCATTTCCTGTGCCACCCAGTACCCACGGCGCTCCAGCGCTCAGTGACTTTTCTGGTTGTCTTTGGAAGAGAACCAACTGTGCTTCATGCTTCTGTTGGATGACATCCTAAAAATGGAACTCGGCAAGCTGGTGCTTTCTGTTCTTCCTGGAAACCTCCCTGCCTCTGGTGGGCACGCAGAGCCCCGGGGCCGGCCTTACTTACCTCGAGATATCTCCCCAGTACCACTCGGCATCCTGTAAGGACATATTGTTGTTCGTGCCGTTGTTGGCTACAGTCGCGGGCTTGGGTGGCTTCGGAGGCAGTGCTGCAGGTAAAGGAGGAAAAAGAAGTTGTCTGCCATCCTAACTCCAAGTGCACATTTAAAATTATTTTATCACAATGGAGAGAATGGGCAAAGGGAGGCAATTTTATTTTCATTAAAAAAATGCACAAAAATTCAATTTTCAGTTAAAAGGCAATTGAATTTACTAAGACGTTTACAATGGAGGAGTTGGGGGGGGAGGGGGAGTGGACACCAGGAATTCACAATTCTATGTACCATGGCAGATACTTGTTTTCAAAAGAAATCTCAGAATATGGTTAAGACAAGAAAAGGAGAAAAGTAGGAGGGGAGGGGGTGGATGACACAGACAGACAGACAGACCTAGAGGTTAAGAAATGAATGGGGCTGACTATGGGAGAAAAATCTCAAAGCTAGCCAGCCCAGAGTCAACGTTTCTCCCTCTAGACTGTAGCTGTAGGAAAGTTGTGTGCCCAGGCAGTTCCAGCTAAAGTAAGTAACTAGGAACATCTGAGCAGCAGAAATAACAGGAGTTGCCTTTCATTTTTTTCTCTTCTTTAATTATGAGAGACAAATTTGTCTGCTGTGTCCTGCAAGAGCGCAGTAATCACGTTTTTCAAAGCCCTCATTTACAGCAGTATGTTTTAAGAACTGGGCTTCTCCATGTTCGTGTTTCAGGCACAGCAGCTCTGCCAACGCCACTTTAGGAAACTCATCTGTGACCTAAATCTCCTTAGTCTTCATGTTACTATTCTGCCAGGGGACACTGTGCTCTACATGTTAGGTCTGAGGAACACCCCCGTCCCCTTCTTCAATGTCAAATCAGTATGTACACAGTGACCAAAAAAAAAAAAAAAAAAAAGGTGACAAGAAGCCCTCAGCATTTCTGAGTTTCCTCATTGCAGGGAGGGCTGACCCCAGAGGGAATAACCAAAGAAGCCTAGGATTTTTAGCCAAATCCGAAACCATTAACTCTGAAAGCACCGTGAGTGCTTTAATTTATGCTCCAGATGATTCCAGGTGTCTAGCAAGACTTTTCCAAAGGCACAGAAAGCCAACTTCTTTTTCCATTGTAGTATCTCAGCAGGAGAGAGCAAGCGAGTCCCCACATCTGATTTACGAGAGTTTCAGGTCATCAGACACGAGTTTTGAGTCACCGCTACATCTCACATGCTTCCTAAAGCACCCGGCATTATCCCAGCAAAGTACCACACTGCCAGAGTCCACAGCCAGCAGAGAACACAGCACAAAGGACACGTCCCCTTAATTAAAGTAACAATATACAACAATATAGCCCAAGTTGCCAAGGATCATAATTAACAAAAGACGCCGGCAGCGGAAAAGTGGAATCTAGTTCCCATCCATTCAGCAAGACCCAGCAAGTATCAAATACAGCCCGGGCTGCCTACTGCTACAGTCAAACAATCTGTTTAATTTTAAAGTTCTAATCAGACTAATTTTAAACCGTGAAACAAATCAGTAAAAATAGCAACCTCGAAAGGATCTGTTAACAGCAGCTTCCCCCCAAAAAAAATTTTTTTTTAAGTCACAAAATAAACTAGCTCTCTCCATTAATACTGCAGTATTACCTGGTGGATCCATTTCTATGTAAAACATCAAGTCCGTGCCACAGTTTATATCTGTCTTGGTACACTCTAAGTCCAGGTCTTCCATAGTCCAAACCGTGGTGTACATTTGTGCGAGAGTTTCCTCGGCTGTGCTCAGTTATAAGAAAAGAGTCCGGCTTTCTTTGTAATGGTGTCTTGGAATTCATTTTAAAACCTATACGGGGCTGCACTGTAACCTATTACATCACACGCCCCAGCCAATCAAGTCAGAAAAATGTCACCAGACCACTCCTGCTTCATCAGTTCTCCTGGATGCCAGCCTCACACGGCCCCAGCCTCTCTCCGAGAACCTACATGCCACACAGCTGCGATGTCTACATGCTCACCATTTCGAAAGGTGTTTAATTTGCCTGCTCTCCTCTAGCAGTGAGTTCTCTAATTCCCTTTTTATTGCTCCTCGCAGCGGCGTGGTACATTCCGCTGTTGGCAGATTGACAGCAGCTGATAAACTGCAGCTTCTAGCTCTGTCCCTCGGTGCATCTGGGCTTAGAGATAGCCTGGCTATTCGGGGGTCTAGAAACCTTACAGAGGCATTGGACTGCTACCCCTAAGCTCTATTTTATAGTCCTTAGGGATCACCCATGTGTGTTAGAAGCAGAAAGGATCAAGCACTCTGGATATTTAAGACAGTCTTCCACAGTTCTTAAACACGGCCATAAATGCAGCACATTAAAAAGGGAAGTCGAAAGACAGTACTCAGGCAAAATGCCTCTACCAGAATATCCCAAGGTCGAAACAAGACTTTACAGAATAAATCATGCAAACTCAGCCCAGGAATGGAGGGAGACACCTATTATTTGCAGAAATGATAAACATAATGGTCAACATTGGTGAGTTTCAATGTTTCTCCCTAACAGCCCTGGACAGCATGGTACTTCTGCCAAAATGAGAGGCCGTACATATATCAGAACACAGAGTTCAGGTGCTCTCCGCCAAGTGTCTCACTCAGGAACCCATCTCACTGGGAGCTGCTTTAAAGAAGGTGATGTAATCTCTCTCTCTCTCTCTCTCTCTCTCTCTCTCTCTCTCTCTCTCTCTCCCTCCCTCCCTCCTCCCTCCCCCCCTTCTCTCTTCAGCTCGGTGCTTACTCGGGGAACAATATCCCTTCTTAGCAGTGTTCAATATAAAGAAATCAATTTCCCTACAAATCTAATGATTTACCTCGGTTCTTTAAATGGTTCTGCATGTAATTCCGTCACCACGACTGGCGCTTGATGTGCACTGGCACTGGGAGCCAGGGTCTCCTGACATTTACATTATTATGGAGGGTACTGCTCCCCTGAAAATGTGGCTTCATTTGAAAAACTAGAGTGGGCGTTGTGGCTGTGGAGGTTATGGAGCCGCGTGGAGATTTATGGAACACAGAAGCCCCTGTAGATTTCTATCCCATTTGGAATCACACAGCATTCGAAGCAGAGGAAGGCATTCTGTTCCCTGGCTCCTGTGCATCTGAGTCCCCTCTCTAGGGCATGTCGGCATTATTGGAGACAGCAGACTCAACCCTATCCCTTTCAGTTCACGCTTCTCTATGTGCCTATAGGTTTAAGTAAATTTAAACCTAAACTAAAATTTAAATAAAAATGGTAAAAAGTGGTGAAGCATATCCTTAGACAAGATTTAAAAAATGATAATAGTAGTTGAATAAAAATGCTGAGTCTTCTCCCAAAAGTAGAGAGACAAGTCCCCTTGGCAGCAGAGGCCGTGGGTCAACCCAAAGGGACAGTGGGCCGTACTCCCACAGGCAGTCCAGCTGCAGCCTGCTGCTGCCATGTGGCAAGGGGACCTAAGGGGCAGGTCAGGGAGACAGGTGATTTTCCGTAGTCTCTGCAAGCTCTGGCTTGGTCCCAACTTCCTGACCCTTACTTTCTCAACTCCAAACCCAGTCCCCATCTCTTCCCCGCAGTGTCCCCCCCTGGAGGACAGAAGGGAGTGTCTCCCCTAATCTCCCATCTGCTCTCCCCAGGCAGCACTCACCCAGGCGCACACACTCCCAATGCACACACACACACCCGCCCCAGCCAAACTAGAGAGGACGGCTTGCAGATAAAGAGCCCGGTGCGGAGGAGAAGTGCATAAATGAAAAGCGACTTACTTTGTAGGTTATGCATTTCAGCGGTTTCGCTTTGAACTGCCAGTATCCCACCGAGAGAGAGAGAAAAAAAAAATCCAAAGAAGCTGTTCTTCCACCAAGTGGGCCCAGCCCCCGAGGCTCCCCCGCCCGCCAGGCACCGGCAGTAGCAAGCCTAGCAGGAGGAGAGCGCGCAAGGCGGGGGCGCGCGACTCTCAGCCCGGCCGCCGGCTCCCCCAGGCTAGGCTGCAGCCGGTCCCTCCGCCCCGCGCCCCGCCCCGGCAGCACGTCCCCGGCTCGGCGAGCAGAGCCCCCCTGGGTCGCGCTACTGCACCGGGGAAGAAAGGAGCCCTGGCGGGCGCTCGCACGTCTCGCTCAGATAAAGATCGCGGCTTCATGATTAACTTGGGCAGGTTCAAATATTTGCTGAGCTAGGGATTTTGGGAGGGGTGGGGGAGGAGCACCCAAGTCAAAGTCAAAATTGTCATCAGGCTGACAAGTGGCCGAGGCAAGACTGACTTGCTCATTTTCGCCTTGGAATTGAGAAGGGCATTGTAAGGGGGCGCTGGAAATAGTTCTCCCTGGTGGCCATGGTGCTTGCAGGCGCGGGCGGCCCCCGCTCCGGGGGCTCAAGTGGCCCACAGTGAAGCGGCACAGGAAATGGCCCAGCTAGTTCAGCAAAAAAGAGAGTCAAAGCCGCGTTTGTGAAGGCCTGAACCTCTTGGAACAGCCCAGAACAGGGTGCCTCGCTCTTGTGTCCACCTCCTCCCACACATTGGCACAGTTGGCCGGGCAGGTGGAACAGGAAAGCCCTTCACCGAGAGCATGGCACCCGGGCTGGCGGCCCCAGGACATCCTCCTCCACGCAAGCCCAGATTTTCCAGAGGTCAACTTCAGCTCACCTTCAAATGGTCCTGGGACTTTCTAATCAGACTTTCTAAGGGGTGTGTCTGCACTGGGTTAACTGCTGGCTGGGCGCGGCAAAGCACAGGACAGAGGACACACCTTCCTCCCCGTGGCTTCTAGTCCTTTACTTCAGAAAGTTGCCACTAACTAGGTTGAGGATTGTTGGCTGGCCCGAAAAGAATTCATGTCTTTTCCTAGGAAATGTTCCCACCACGTCCACACAGAAGCCCCACTCTAACCTTTTGAACCATCAATAAGAGTCACAAACGCCCCTAAGCCCTCAAAACATAACAGTAATTTAGATATTACCCCAGGCAATTCCTTCATACTGTAGGGGGAAAAAAGCCCCAGGCAAAAAGAACCCAACCTTCAGACTTTTGGTTCCAAACTTCATTCTCTGCTCTTAGGTTTCCTTGGTCATGAAAAGTAAAAACTGCTAAGAAATGGAATTTGCTTTTAGGCCACATTGAAAAAAAAATCATACCTATAACAAAACTCTAGCTTCCTAGTTTTCTCCCTTTTGGCTTAAGAAAAAACAAACAAACAAACAAACAAACAAAACCCAGCTTTCTTATTTTAATGCATTGCCCTGTTTTAAAAAGAACCCCTCTGGGAGAAACAGACACAATGGCTTCTTAAGCATACCTGTCTGGACCTACCTCAGAAACTCCTAGAACATTTAAATGTAAATCTGATAGTTTCAGAACAAAAGTATCTACAGGAAAGTAATATAGACTAGAAAAGCCTTCAAAGAGCCATGAACACCTTGTTTCAAACAATTTCCTCACAATATGTACAATCACCTACCATGGAGGCTCTCTATGTGACTGCGTGAGAAGAATCTTTCCCCACTGGGAAGATTCACGCTCTTTATAAGCTTAAGGAGGGAGCCCTCTGCTGGCAGAACTGAGTAAATCACTCCTGCTTCAGAGAAAACCATCAACATCACATTTCATCTTCTCTGGATCCAAGATGTTCCCAAAACTAACAGACATAATTAAAAGTGCTACTGAATAGACAATTCACAAATAAAGGCACAGACGTCACAGTACCTAGGAAATAATTTCCATTGGGCTGATAAGCCCCTTTAAGAAATCCTGTGCTTTCTCAATGTCCCATAGCACCCAGGAAACCTTAGCAGCACGACTGAAGGAAGGCTCACTTCACCTTCTGGATGTTTCAAGCTAGCGTGCGTCCCTTTCCTCGGGGGTTTTGGACAACTCATTTCAGAGGCAAAGACAGGCCATGAATCCACGTTTCAGCAGATTTCACAGAATCAGAAAGCTTTCTCATGATTATTAACATGTGTTTGAAAGTTGTGTGACATGATTTCTGCCCTGAATAAGCCCTCTTCCGGCATCGAGTGAGCCATAGCCTGAGACCTGGAAAGCTTGCTTCTCAATGGCTTTCGTGTGCCACTATTAATGAGCAAAAAAACACGAAAAAGGAGGCAGCAGAAAAAAACTTAAAGAATCACAATCGTCTAGGGTAAAAGGAGCATGTTCCTTCATAATTTTAATGGAACACAACTTGGAAAGTAGGGCCATCCAGTATGAAGCAAATCTGTAACTCCATGTTCAGGGATCACAATGAACCACACACACTAAGGAAGGATAGCCTTTTCAGTGAGTAAACAAACCCAGGTTTACATACACAAAAAGCCAGACACAGGCTACAGGCTTTCTGCAAAGGCCCGCCCACTGTCTAGCAGAGAGGGGAACTCTCTCCCCTGTGATTACTGCCACCTCCCCCACCCCCATCCTGTCCCTTGAGAGACAGAGAAGGCTGTGCCATGAGAACAAAAGTAGAACCATCCCCCAGCACAGGCTGTTGCAGACCTTGAGTAAAAGAGGCTAGTTTTAATGAGATGGAGCTGGGCTCTCCCCCTGTTCTCCTCGACCTCAGGATATGCATCTTTTTCAAAGTTTCATTCCTCACCTTTGAAACAACTTATGTCAGACCACATTTTAAACCCAATGGGAGAAAGAGAGAAAAAAAAGAGAGAGAGAAGCATAAACTCTGAAAGTCATTTCCCTCTGCCTTAGCATTTGCTTACGTCTCAGCTGAAAACCCAGGGCAGAGTATTTCAAACAAAATGCATGAATTAAGCTCTTCAAGAGGGATGCAATGCACCAGTGGCTAAAAATTAACCTTGACGGGTGTAGGAGGGCAGGGAGAGAAAGTCACTTGCTGCTTCCTCCCGGCTTGGGGGTGCAATGTCAGACCCCAGTTATGCTACATTAGTATTTCCGAATACATCCATGAAATCCAAATCAGGGGTGGTGTTCAGAGGTACCCTGTGTTCACTGGATCTGTTCCTAGTGCGGTTGCCCTGTCGAGGTCAGCTTAGCTCCCCTCGTCTGGGCAGTGTAAGGAATTCGGAAAGTCTGCTGCCCATCTTCAACTATATCAAGGAGTTCTTGTCATGGAGGGAATGGCAAGTGAACAAGAGAGCTCTGGAAACATACTGTCCACATCACCTGCCCACATCTGGACCTCCTTCCGTAAAACACAAGGAATCTTTCTCTCAAAGGGCTGCTGGATGCACAAAATGTTTCTAACATTTCTTTGAAAACCAAAGTTTATCAGTATATGCGTATCGTTGGAGAATTATTAGTCTGTGCTCATATCTGTAACTGGAGTGGATCTTTGCCTTTTAGAAATGTAGCCAAACCAATTAAACAGTTCTGAAAAAAAAAACAAAAAAACAAACAAACAAACAAACAAAACAACCACAGGAAGTTAAAGGTAAGGGAACAGGGGCTGAAGAAGACACACACTGTGAATGGGCCATTTTAGCCCGTGCAGAAAGCACACTGGGACCCTACTGCGACACACATGAAGTGGAAGGCACAGGGGACACTGTCTACGGTCGGTCGCACATTTTGTGCACTGCACAAAGGCACATTGGCAAGCTGTGTGTGTGTGGGGGGGGGGGGCGTGGCACTGACATCCCGGCCACTCCACCCACCAAGCCGCACGGCCTATATATGTCAGCTCATTTAATCCTAACAATCCTGGGAGAGCCACCCGCTCGTCTTTCCGCTGTACATCCCATGGGGCCTTGTCCCCAAACCTATCCACCGTGGCCCTTTGCTCTATGTTGTCCACAGGATCTTTCTGGTAACTTCAGAAGGCTTTTTGAGTGGACACTGAAAACAGCCCCATGGTTCGAGATGGTTCCAACAACTTAGTCATACAAAGATTGCAAAGAGGACAGGCCGGACCCAAAGGTAGCTCCTGGGCAGATCCAGCTGTGGCATACACTGGTCGGGTAGCATAGAGTGAGCCTGTCATCTCTGTTTCTTCAGAGTCCCACTGGTGGCTTATAACCCTGTCGCTTAAAATGTGGTCTTTGGAAAAACCCAATTCTTTTTTTTTTTTAAGTTCATTTGTGTATTTTATTTTCATTTAGTTAAAAAATTCTCTTTCTACTGATGGACACATAATAATGACACCAAGCATATAAACACAAAAATATTCACATTTGATCCCCAACTCAAAAGTTTAAGTAGTTTGGAAGTTATCAACCAAGGAAACATGCCCTGATCCTAAAACCAGTACCAAAGAAACACTCTTGGACCCTAGAATCAGAGTCAGTGAATGAAATATGCCCTGGCCTTAGAGGTAGTGTCAAAAACCTAAGTAAGGCCAGTGAGAGAAACACAGTTTAGCCCAGGGATGAAACCCAAGTCTTAAGAGATCGCGATGTACAAATGTCCTAGCTTGAGTGGGCACAACCTAAAGAATACAGCCTAAAACACTTTGATTAGCTGGTTTGCTGTCCATCTGCATCAAAATGCCATTTTCCTTTTCTCCAGTTAAAATTGGACCTGTTTTCAAGGCCCTTTTCAGGGTGTATTCTTCCATGAATTTACCTACTCAATTACCTTAAAAAGTTACCAACTGTAGCTCTAAAGCTCTGTCTTAGGAGAAGGGCACTCGCAGCTAGTATTTAGGTGCTACGTTTTTTTTTTTTTTTTTTTTTTTTGGTGGCTGGAGAGACAGCCGTGGGTGCTGGGAACCGAACTCTTATATTTTTGGTTGTGAGCCTAGCCTTTAACGGCTGAGCCATCTCTCCAGCCCAGTGCTACATTTTTAACAGGCCTTATTTAAGTTGATATTTTGCCTTTTCATTCTAACTACTACCTGGTAAAACTCAGAGAAGATGTCTATCTGCCCCACAACACACATTTCCTTGTAGTCCCCATCCAAGGGTCCTTCAAAGACTCCTTTCTGTGCAGAGTGGCAGTTTCTATAAATGACTGATTTATGAGCATTCACTTGAGATGCACCGGAGGTGAGTTTCCAAAGCCCTTGAGGACCCTGGCATGCTGGGCTGGCTGGTGGGGAAGGCCTCTGGGAAGGCACTGGATTCCCACCGGCTTGAAGAGGTCATTTCTTTTTTCCTGGGATGCCCTGCCAATCACTGCCTTGGAGTTATCCTGGAGCCCAATGGTGTTCAGGATGAAGGCACCTCCCCCTACTCTCTTGTAGGTGGAGAGTGAAGTGAGACACTCTGAGGCATCCAGTTAATCCTAAGGGAACCAGATGATGCTCAGGGTGGCTGAGAAGTACCACATGGCATGGAAATGGTTCAGATGGGGCTTAAGAATTACTTGGGTTTAATTCTTTTCCTTTCTTTCTTTCTTTTTCTTTTCTTTTCTTTTTTTTTTCTTTTTTTTTTTTTGGTGAAGGGCCTACACAAGTACTGGGACAATCTACTATGTTCAATCTTTGTCACTCTTCAGCAGCAGAGCTGACGGAACTAATCCTCCTTTGAAATTAGTATACCAATTGCTATGTGGGGGACTGGAGTGCTCTTCTGTGTATCAGGCCACATTATGAAAATGGTTGATGATGATACATGCTTGCTTTTATGAGTCAGTCTTATAAAAGACATTTAATCCATTTATATTAAACTCCAGTGGTGAATACCCACCCCCAACCCCCCACCCCCCATCAGACAAATAAGCCCTTAGTAATCAATTCATCTGTAAAAAGTCCTGTCTGGCTTTGGGCCTCCATGTCACCTGCCTGATGAGGCCAGGGGTTGTTACTGAGAAGCCCAGGATGACCAGCTCCTCAGCTCCCCTCACCCCTACCCACCCAAACCCTTCAGGGCAAATAAAGCTCAGCTGTGCCTCCTCTCCACGGTGCCTCTCAATGCTTGTCAGGAGGAAGTGAACAGTTGCAGCTGGCCGCTTTGGCTGGGGCCTGCCTATTCTCGGTACCTCTCTTCCTCCCTAGCCAGTGTGGTTAGTCTATGGCTCACAGCCACATCCATTCCCCACTCTCCTTCTTTCCCATTAGGGCCAAAGGCGGCTCCTGAACATAACCCAGGGCTCCTAAATCCACTACCCAGTAAATTCATATGGGACAAAAACCTCTGTGCTGCCCTTGGCCTAAAGTCCCAGGTGATGCTTACAGATAGGTTCCTCAGTGCACTTGTCTGTAGCTCTGGGCATCCCCATTAAATGCTGTTGGCTGTGGTTTGGAACCTTTAGAATATACCCTGCTTGCCTCCTCTATGATCATTCTCACGCTGGGGACAGTATTTGGGGCCAGTCCTCCTAAGTCTTGCATCTTCAGTGCTCATCTCTAGCCAATCATCTCAGGCTGGGGTTTGAGCCCAAGCCCCCCCCCCACCCCGCCCCTCTCTCTGTCTGCTGCCTCCAGATGTAAAGAAACACAGCCTGCCAGGCAGTGACCGACAGAAAAGCACAGTCTGTTGCTCTGTCCCAGTGGCTGCTCACAGCCAAGCTAATCTGCATGAGTTACCCACTGTAGGTAGTAGAAACAGGGTGCTTCAGTTTAAAAGGCTGGGCGTAAAGGATGCAAGCAAAACTTCCTCTTGGCCCTGCACTTACATTTCACCTACTAAGGGCTGATTAGTCATCTAAATGACCAGCCTTGTGCGCTGCTACTAGATCACAGGTTGTCTGGACTCTCTAAATGAAAACCTGCTTTTCTAGGTGAGTCTACATTCCCTGCCCTCTTAAAGGGCTAGAAGACCACCTGCTTTCAAAGAGGCCTCTGGCTTGCTCTGACAAGCTTCTAGTGAACACTGCTTTCATATTGTCAGTGTTATTGAGAGTGTTTGTTTTGACGGACATTTCGAGGCATGGTCACTTCCAAAATACACACTCCAAAATACTTTAAATTATATAGTAATTATAAATCCCCCCCACACTTTATAAGCATTAGAAAAACCAAAAAAGAAGTCAACAGCTAAAACAAACTCCATAAATTTATTCAGCAGCCTGAAGCCTAAGAGGTGTTGGGTCCAGGGAGCTCTCCCAGTGCTCATCTAAGACAAAAAGGTAGAGGCAGGAAGGAGGCTTGAAGTCAAGGCCAAGCCCTGCTACAAAGTGAGTTCAGGGCCAGCCTGAACTACGTGGTGAGACCTTGTATCGAGCTAATAAATTCAAAAAAAGAAGAAGACAATGACAACGACGACTAAAACCAAAATAGCTTAATTCTGCAAGAGCTGACATCTAACTGTACCACATAGACCACCACTGTTATTTTTCTGTGAACCATAAATTAACATATTATTATGGGTTCCAATTGTATTAGAAGCCTGCATTAATTCAAAGGAGATAGAAACCACTGTTTCTATCTGTATGGGCCTCTTTTTGTAGCTAAGGAAGAGAGAACAAAATGGTTTAAGCATTGGCTCAATGGTATCTGCCACACACAAGCTTACTCTGTTTCTTGTATTTTTTTTTTTTTAAACTTGCAGAAGTACAAAGAAAAGGCCCCAAAAGCTAAGTGAACGTCGAATGTTGCAAAGCCTTACCTGGTGCTGGCTGTCGTTCATTCCATTCAGTTGAGATTAAAATCTCTATCACTTTTATGAGGTGTTCAGTATTATCAGAGCTGCAACAGAAAGGGTTTTGTGAGAACCAGAGTTCCTAAAAACAGAACCGTCTCCATTCATCATTCTACTGATGAGTGTACAGCAAGTCCACATAAAATGCCCATCTGTGACCCAGTATCTTTAGATAACCCTGAAATAACCATTAGGGCCACTCATCACCCGCTTCTCCATACCCCCCCACCCCCAAATCTCCTTTTCATCTTTCACTTACCTGGATGCTGGGAATCTGAAAAGCAGAGGGCTGAAAATTTCAGAGAGGACTCTTGCATTCAGAAGATTTTTGCTGGAGGCTTGAGAGAGCTTGAAGAAATGCTTAAGTAAATACTGAAGCGTAAGCCAATACTGATGAGGTATATTAGGCGACCTAATGAGCTTCTTCAACAGCTGGATGTAGTCTTCAGAGCTTTGTACTTCTACAAGTTACGGAAAAAAAAAAAAAATACAGGACAAAAAAAAAAAAGTAAGGCTATGTAAAGGTGCCAATGAGCCAATGCTTGAACCATTTCTTGTCTCTGCTTTAGCTACACGAGGAGGCCCATAGAGAAATCTTCAGGAGAGGTACCAAGGACATTCGTCCTTCTTATTAAGAAATGCATTGTGAGAAAGTAAAGATCTCCAGCCAAATGAAATGCAAGACATTCTTCTTGTAAAAAAACCACAAAATGTTCAGGGTGTGCTCTCAGAAGCCTGGCCTCCATCAGGCAGCACCAAGCATGATTGGCTACTTCCTCAGAGCATCAGATAAGTATCACAGGTTAAACTTTGAAGGTCACGAACCACAATTTCCTGTCCCCAAAGCACTGAACGGAGGCTGCTGATGCTGGGTGCTCCACCCTCGATACATTTTGTTCTGGGTGTACAGGGAAGAGGGCAAGACTATTTCTCACCATGCATTCTAGCCCTGGGTCTCCGAGTCTGAGGCTAGTGCTTGAATAATCATGACCTTCACATCTGCAGTGATCTTTGCAGAGAGTGATCAGAAGTGAATTAGCCAGTTTAACACATGGGCAGGCTTCTAAGCAAACAGGAATCCAAGCCCCTTCTATGCCCAGGTGCTGTGCAGCTAAGGAGGGAATCAGGGTGGTGGCGAGGCACTGGGGGACAGCTTAGAATTTTCTCAATGCCTTCTGCTTATACCCAGCACTTCACAGAGTGACAAGCATATCTACATGTCAGTATCTGTTCGGAGAGGTCTGAAAAAATAAAACCAACCTTGGGGTAAAGACATCATTTCATTGTAAACAGCTACTGGAATGACAGGATTTGGTAAGTCCAAGAGATAGCGTTTGAAAGCATCTGCTAACACTTGTACATCAATCATTTCCAAGTCCACTGAGGCGGCATCTAGGAGAGAAATAATTTAAGAAATATTTCAGGCATTCATACTTCTGTTGGGCCAATTTCCCAAATGTGGGACTTAAAAAAGATACAGGGAAGGAAGCAATGTGAGGAAAACAGAAGCCATGGCGTGGTGACTACTGTTTCCCATAGGGCTAGTTCCTGAATTTGGGACAGAATGGCTTTTCTTTGCGTAGCTCTGTCTCATGTATTATAAGCATTCAGCATGCCCAGCCTTTCGCTATTGGGCTAGTACCATATTCCTTAGGGCAACAAGAAATAATGCCACTGTTATTGATAAGCTAGTGCCCTCTCCAGTGCCTATGTTGAAACTCAAAGCCCCAATGCGCCATACAGAAACACGTTTGGAGATGGACCCTGCAAGAGGTGATTAGGTTAAACAAGGCTGTCAGAGTGGGCCCTAAGTCCGATCTAACTAACACCATTATAAGAAAAGACAAAGTCACAGAGACACCAGTAATCTAGGAACAAATGAAAGGCCATGTGAAGACACACTGAGAGGCAGCTGTTGGAAAGTCAAGGGAGGCCTCAAAGAAAGCAGACAGGTCTATGCCTTCATTGTCTTGGATTTCCAGCCTCTACAGCGGTGTGAGAAATACATTATATTCAGTTTGGGGGAGTAGTTCTGCCCAGACTGAGAAGGGTCTGACATATATATATAGCCAATGTTTCCTCGTAGCACAATAGGAAGATGAGAAATGAAAATTCCAGGTTTTCTCAAATCTGAACTGATAAATGCTACAGAAAATTCAACCTGAACAGAATGCTCAACTAAATATCAAGATACTACAGCCTTTTAGCAATCAATTTCAAGATTGCCTGTAGAATAATCTGAACAGTTCCAGAAAGCTTTTCCTAATGCTGTCATTATCTAACCTGTGAGCATCCAACTAGCTCCGAACAAAGAGAAGGAGAACGAATTTCTCCGATAAATCTATCAGCTAGAAAGGAGGTCGAGCCATTCAGTAAAGGGGCAACAGTAATCTAAAGCACTTTTCTGCACACATAAGGTGTATGTAGCTCAGTCCTTGGGATGGGAAAGGAAATGAGGTCCAATAGAAATCAGGGGCACCAAGAGCAAGAATGGCCAAGGGCATCCATAAAAGACAGCCATTTGGCAACTGGAAGGAATGTGAGGAGACTTATCTAGGGAAGGTGTACTCAGAAGGTGGGCTGACGTTACATGTTGTTTACTGTCTCCAGTTATGGCACTGAGGGTTCTTCTGTGAAGGAGATATAAGGAACAAGATAATATAAAGAAATTACATAACTCAGTGCATGGCTGGATAGGGCAGTGTCTAGGAGATGAGAAAATACCAGAGTCATCTTAAAATGATTCTATAAGGAAAGGCCAGTACTTAGGCTATCCCTGAAAGATGGATACTGTAAGTAAGCTCTTTAAACTTTTCCCTATTCAATTAAAAAAAAACCAACAACAAAATGAAAACCTTTGCCTATTCATGATCTTTTTGTAGCCAAGAAATTTTTATATGACCCAAAATATATAGGTATGTAAAATAGGCACACAAAGCAAATACTTACTGAAATTGTAGATCAGTTTATTTTAAAAGTATTCTTAAGTACACATATAATTTTACCATTGATTAAAGGTGAAGGCTAATCTGCCTACTAATGAGTGATTTCCTTTGTTTATTCTTATACAGAAATAAATCTTAGCTTAGTATTGGATACTGTAAGATACACAGCACCTTCAGTGATTTTCAGAGGTAATCAATATTATTATTTAAAAATTGCGAATAGGGGCATGCTGCTTTGCATAAATACATGATATAAAATGGCAGAATTACGTCAAGAGTCATTCCAAAACTTTCTGGAAATTCTCTTCTAACCCCAACCAAAATTTCTTTAACTTTTTTTTTTTTTTAAATGAAACTCAAATCAAAAACTCAAACAACAGTTTTCACAATCAAACATTTTTATACAATCCAATCCAAAGATATACTAATATGTGTGTATGCATACATGTGGTGTGTGTGTGTGTGTGTGTGTAAATACATGCCAATATCCTAAAGATACACAAAATGAGAGGGATGATAGGAAAATCCATGTCAAAGTCATCCATAATTCAATCGTGGTGTTTCTATGAGGCAGGAAACATTTTAAGTAATTCATACCATACGATGGTGTTGAACCTGAGCTGGAGTGGGTGCGGCCACAGGCACAGACAGCATACACAGTGCAAGGTGTGAAGATTTTATGTCCAGAACTAATGATACAGTGAAAGTGAAGGAGGACTCGTGGGTAAATGCCGCCCAAAATGTCTTAGGCTAGTCCATGTTTGGTTTTGACTTAAAGTTTGGTTCAGAAACCTTTTGTTGTTCCAAATACTTCCTGACCACCACATGCAGGAAGGAAATGACCCCCACACTGAGAAGCTGTGGTAAATCGAGGCTGAGACCGAGGCACAAAAAGTCTTTGGATACATCACTGCATTAAGCAAAACTTGTTCCACCAAGTAGCCAGAGGTAAGTGATTATCACATCCCACTTTTATCCTCTCAGAAAATCAGTCCAGTATACACTACACATAAGACAGGGGAGGGCAAAAACTATAGAAGTTGAAGGATAAGGTGGCAAAACGTTGTGCCATTAAATATCCTAAAGAGCAAACCGGACACAAAGCACTTTATAATAAGTGTGCAAGGCCATACTGGGCCTTTGCATAAAGGGTCTAGCCTGAAACTAAGTAATTGTTAGTGAAATTATATAGTGTCAGTTAAGACTACATGGGTATCACTACAGAACTCCAAAGAATATTCCAAGTTTCTGGGCCCTCTAGACAATGCCCTTGTGTGCTTCATTTCATCTCTTTGCCTTGAAAAATCACTGAATTTCTCATACTGAAAAAGTATGCTTCACCATTTATCGATGTCTGTAGACTTCGAGGGTCATATGTCCCTTTCTTGGGCATAATCCCCTTGGTGCACCTGCAAGGGCCGATGAGCAATCCCTTCACCAAGAGAATTGGCAAGTAGTCTGGCAATTCTGTATCTCACATCACACCTGGGGAGGCTTGAGGACAAAGTGTGTCTCTCCCCTGCTCTTCCTGCCTTCCTCAGCAGCCAACATAAGCCAAACGGCAGGTATTTAAGGTCTGGAGCCCTTAGGCTGGTGCTCATTTCAGAGACCTTCTTAAGAACCCAGGGAGGGTCATCCACCCAAGTCTTGACAGTGTTTGAATGAAATCACATCATTCAGGCCTTGGGATAAACTCACCACATGTCAAAGTCCACAAGAGTTGATGATGAAGTATACTTGGTTTTATTACTTTTTTTTTTTTTTTGTGACGTGACTTTCCATGTGCCCCAGGGTTTCTGACTTATGCAATACAAGATTCCTCTTCTGTATTAACACTACCCTGGCATCTCTTAGCTACCCACAGCTGTCTTTAGTGAAAAGAGCTGGTATTCTTTTCATTTCACTTTTCACTACATTACCAATGGGTAACCAGTTCCTACCATACTTCATGACTCCAGTTCCCTGGGAAGCCCCACCCCCAACCCCCAGCCAGCCACCAGCTGATCTCTATCTGGTTCAGTGGTTCCTAGGGCATGTGGGTAGAGTAGGCTGCAACTGGCACTATTTGGAGACATTCTTGACTGTCGTGACTCGGGGGGG